TATCGCAAACTCGTGACCGAACAAAACATTGCACCAAAGAACAAATACAGACGGACTGGCATTACATATTTTCACTTGCCATTTCTGCTCTCGAAACTGTCTTCCACGATAGGACAATGACATCAGTATCGTAAACCTCGCAATCATTTTTTTGCGTTGTGTGATTCATATCCATGTAGCACCAGATGAGTTCCTGAGCGCTTATTGCCATCGACTGTTTGAGACCGTTCATTGAGGATGAAACGATCCATCGATGGTCGGTTATTTTTGCGCAATGTCTTGTCTATTGTCATTTCGACTTCTTTGCCCTCGAATTACATCGCAAACCTTCTTAACCATTGGCTGGACTTCGAATTTCTTCTGGTTATTTCAAACATGATCCTTTCAATGTTAAGCTACGTAGTCTGTAGTTTATAAACAGTTCAACAGATCTCATGCTCTGTATCCATTCATTAACAGCGAGAACACCCACTGCTTCATGCGCAAGGACAGTTTCCCAGGCAAGAAGATTTTCAATCACTCAACGCTCAATGCCATTTTTGCTTTACTACTGACTTCAAAGACTTGATTTCTGTTGACCCACCTGATAGCCAACTAATCAGCGCAGGGTGTAATTTCATTTTTTCTCATCCCTTATCCTACTTGTCGTTTCCCGGCGCGCTACGAAGACATCGACGTTCTTCCAATATTGTTTGTTCCGTAATCTCTGTGTTCATCGCTAGCCAAGTAACTTTAGCATTGGGTCATCACAGCGTGGGGCGTTTATGATCCAGCCAGCGCAGTCCAATTCGTTATTAATGAAACCCACCGTTTGTGTCACAGGAGAATCATGTGAACTGTACATTTTTGATTGGCGTCGCCGCGCTACCCCCGTCAATCACTGGCTAGTAAACTTTATCTCGGCGGAGGAAGGGGGCTTCAATGGATTTTTTGTTAGATGCGTTTTAAATTATCCTTTTTAAATTCAGCTTCGGATTAATTATACTCTAGTTGACACGCTCCGGCATACGCGCCCATATTTTTGGAAGAGTAACGAATATAATAGAAATAGTTTCCGAAAGAACTTGCAACGACCACCCAAGTAATCAGGTCTAAACTGCTGGTACTCATTCTCTTGACGCAGACTATCTACAGTAATTAAAACTGATATCACTGTGTGACGTCTGCCGGCGAAGTATCAAATCCGACGAAATACTTCTAATCTACGAAAAGTATTAATAAGAGGCGGCTGTAAACTGCTCAACGTAAACGACAGTAACGAACACGTGCCAAAAACTTCGGACGACGTAAACGCTTCTTACTTGTTATTCGTTACCAACTTAATGAGCGCTTCCCTTGAAATGACGTGTCCACAGTTAAGCCGCATTGGGGGATTCTGATCCGTCGTCTGCTGACGTAGGATCGGACAACAAAAGACGGAGTGGTAACAGTTCTGAGGTCCAAGGTTAATCTCGATCTTAAGAAAAAATGATAAGCAATCAGCAAGAAGGAAACTGATTATGAATATACTTACTGGAAGCTCGTCGCTGTGACCCCAGATATTTGATACACGGCGTTGCTGCATCACCTGTTGGATGTTAAGCAATGCGGGAACAGCGCGGGTGCCGGCTTCTAGACTGAAACCAAAGTCACTTCAAGAAAAACGAAGTATAACCGTGCCATTACAGTATGCTCAGCGGACTGTTCACCGGTACGTTGTAAATCGTACACCAGTCATGAGACAGCATGTCACAAAGCTTGCTCCACGGTGCGTCAGAGAACAGCTCTGCATACGGCGAATCTTTGTAGCCGTTTCGAAGGAACAGTAAGCTACCCATCAAAGTTTCTACTTCTATCAAGAAAAAAACCACTGTAACGTGACAAAAAAATATTTTTGAAATAGTATAATACTCACATACCTGTTCTATTTTTCTCCATGAAATACTGGAAGACCTTCGCCTCTTTTAAAGCCTCTGATTGATGTGAAATACCCAATCGAAGAATCTCTATGAACTTCATCTTGTGCAGGTTAAAGAGAAGCTGGCTATTCATCCGTTCTAGTAAATCTTTATGCGCTTGAGCCCATCTGAGAAAAGAAATTGACGAAAGTCAAATGGAACATTCTGTAACAGGTAATGTAATGTAACAAATGTAACATTCTAGGATGACGGAAACTTACTAAACTTTAAATTATTTAATTGTTTTATCTTGTCACTGTTACTAATTGGTATCAATGCGAATGGTGTCAAAAAATCTATGGCTTATCATCAACTACACAAATCTTACAAAATAACCAAAGGGCAACAAGCTGAATAAAAATAAGATTATTCATTACAAAAGTAACACTAGCCTATAGCATGGTTTAATCTACTTCTCCATGACCGTGTACAGCTCGTCATAACCTTAATGCGGCTTGAAAGAATGGTTCAAAGTGGCGTTTAGCAGCTGAACGATACCAGAAAAACAAAAACAAAATGACTGCATAATTGGCATAAGCTAAGTACGATTTAACAGAGGGAAAGAAGAAAAAAAGGACAGTTTGCAACCGTTAAGATGTCGACGATCCTGACATCGGCTAGAAGTGCCCTAGTTTAAAAGCAGAATCTACAGCGGCCATGAGGAAAGCATACACTGTAGTCTATTATTCCAGCTCACAGAATGGTAGTAATTCATCTGCCTCGAAAAGAAGAAAGGCAAGTGACCTGATCAGTGTTCGAACCCACGACATTGTGGTTCTGAGTCTGGCGCTATACCGACTGAGCAACCCGGTCGTAACTGAGAGTGGGCACTTATCCGATCCAGCTGGAAACCGTGAACGGCGCACAGCGACGTTTACAAGGTAAAACAACAAAAAGCAAAACAGATTTTCTTGCCCAAGTTTGGATTTCAATATTCGAACTCTTCTGTAAGTATTAATCGCCGTCTTAATTTCTGTCTAAATCTTTTCATTCAATTTATCGCTTAACGGCATCACCGATTCCTAATATTCACACTTACCCAAATGCAGCAACAAATTTTTGCTGCAATATTTCTTGCCTTGTTCATTCATAGCAAATAGATGACCTGTTTATATAATGCATCTGGCTGCAACAGTAGTTTGATCGAAAAAAACTAAGAAGCTTATACGTCCACCTCAACATTTCGACCGAAAACTAACAGTCTTCTTCAGAGTAAAAAAACGCCCGTTCAGAATAAAATATAGAACACAGCTTCCGTCAGGCTGGAGATATTTTCCGTTACCTCGATACATTATGGTTGCAGTCATTATGTAGTGCCAAAATATTCACAAAATTTACAACTTGTGCTGATTTTTAGTCAGATGGATCAAGATGAAATGCAGCCGTAAATGGCACATGTCAGAGAGCATGGTCATATAGTTCGTAAGCTTTGGCACGATCACACCGCTTTGACTGTCCCACTATTTGCTATTAGTCCCATTTGCGCAAAGCTAACACAAAGCACCATTCTGTTCCCATTTTTCACAAGTAAACAACCTGCTACACACTGAGGAATGTTTCTTGCAGTTAAAAAGAAAAAATTAATGCCGGGCGTGGGTTGAACTAGGCATCTCTAAAGTATAAAGCTAAATACTAACCCACTGTGCCAATGCCCCATCAAAACATCGACTAGTTCACAGCTCTTCTCTAAAGCATGGGATCATGTTCTTCATTGCGGATGGACACTTGTGGTCATTTCCCTGAAATTTAAGTGTTCCTAATAGCTTCGCAAAATAAACGCAGTCGAATTTCATTTACATTATCACCCATAGTCATAATCATGGGTTAACTGAAAAACTGCGGTACCGCCAACAAGAGGCTGACAGTTTCTTATACATATCGCTGCGCCCGCTAGTCTCGGCACTGACCGGGGTTCAGATATCCGAGAGACCGTGATGCACAGATACTGTTTCTCCAAACTGAGAAGTCACGGCGACTCTGGCAACGTTTTGCGAATACTTGTAGGAAAAAAAGGCTACATAGCCCTACTTGCTCAATCACCTGCAGAAAGCCCCAGAGACGGCCAAGAATTACCTAAGGTAAGTGTCTGTTCCAAACTCAGGGCATAATTCGTCTGTCGAGTCTGAAACGCTGGAAAAGGATCAGGAACATTTGAGACATTATCTGGTGCTGCCTTCGTAATCCTAAAGTACCAGTG